TGTTTATGAATTTTATGAATATAAAAATATCATGACAATAATTTTCTGTATTACAGATAAAATGCCGTACTGCTGCATAACAAAGTGTGGCAACTCATGGAAACGAGGCAACACAATGCATCATCTTCCTACAAATTATGAAAGAAGAGAGCAGTGGATTAAAAATATAGGAAGACTTGATTTAGATCCTGCAAAGGAATATTATGTATGTAATGTAAGTATATTATATATGTCTTAGTTACACTATATATTATACAAATGTATTAATAATTGGAATATGGAACAGATTCATTTTGAGGCTAATATGTGGGAAAAACCACGAGTAGACGGCAAACAAAAATTGAAAAGTACTGCCATTCCCACAATTTTCCCAAAAAAGCAAGAAGACGTAGTATCAAATAATAATAGACAATGTTCTGCCGCTATAAATGTAAGTATAATATAAAGATGATTGAAATGTGTTCGTATGTAAAAATGTACATTATTAAGTTCATAACTAATGATTGATTATCTATTGTAGACTGAAGACCGTCCTCAACTAGAAGAAAGTGAACATAAAGATATTTTTACTGAATTAATGGAGACTATCGAGGAAAATACTGAATTAGTGAACAATACTGACAAGTTAGTGGACAATATTGAGTTAGAGGAAAAGTGTATAAATAAAGAAAACAATTTGAAAACAGCCCAAACATTGGACACTAAAGAACTACAATTGAAACTGGAGCACGCGAATGTTGTAATTGAAAAACAGGAAAAATCAAAACGGATGTTATTAAAACGTATTAAAAGATTAGTATATGAAAAGAAGAAATTAATAACAGAAAATCACAACTTGAAAGCAAGCAAATCTGTGAATCAATTACTAAATAAGGATCAAATAATAGCTCTCCATAAAAAATCTGTACGAGGTTACAAATGGTCTGCTAATACCGTGAGAAAAGCCCTCCGATTGAAATTGTTATGCGGTGCTAGCGGCTATCAAGAAATATTAGACCAGGGTATTCCATTACCTGCAGCACGTACGCTAAGACAAAGATGTGAGGATCTTGAGTTTCATCCCGGCATCTGCGAGGAAGTATTTGAGACATTACAACAACGAGTATCTCAATTTACGGATGATCGTGAAAAAGATTGCATGCTAGCCCTCGATGAAATGAGCATTATGGCAGGAGAGCAAGTTGATCATGGTATAATGTCACATGTTGGTCTTTCAACTCTTCCTGACAAATCTGGTAAATAAATTAGATATATACATCAATTA